GAGTCATGAATTTATTCTTGCCATTTAAGCAAAATGAGAACCAAAACACCAAAGCAAAGAGCATTCAGTTTACAGTTTTAATAGACAAGCAAAAGAAGGCAGGTATGAACAAACATCCAGTAAAACAGAAAGAAGGGTGCAAAAATGAAAAACACTGCATATCAATATAAAAAACCCACAAGCAAGACAGTCAATAAAATTATGACAAAAGCTTCGCTATATAAAAGCTTGCCTATAAAAAATGGGATCTCAGACTTAAAAGGCAATCACTGATTCAGCAAACCTTATCTCCTCAGGCAGCTTGTTCCAAAGCTGAGGGACTTGTTGACAAAAGCAAACAAACATTCCCTGACTGGCACACACACTGCAACAGTCCAGTTCTCCCAGTAAAACTTCATGCTTTCCCAGAACCACACAGGGACACCATGTTCTCCTACCCAGACTTAAATCCCATTTAATTAAAGCACGTCATTTAGCACCAGTCCCTCCCTTAACTGTGTTTCCATTTGCATATGTGACGAAAAAGAAAACTTGATCAGTACGCTGTGTTCAGTTCCTTTCCTCTTACTCGATACGTGAGTGTTGCCATGTCGTAAGAGGATGCTGGGAGTTCAGTGCACCGCTACAATCTGTGAAAGCCACCTAATGGCATTCAGTCACCATCTAAATGAGTAAATCCCTTCTACTTCCTGGCTTTGAAGCTCAATTAGGGGTGTTTCCATTTGCATGCAGAATCCAAACCTCCTTCTGCCTGGGAAGCTCAAACGATGGGGAGACACTGGACAAAGGATGGAGCGGGATGCTGCCCTGTTGCTATGGCAACCACCGGAATGTACAGGCTGGATCGTGGCGGTTCTTGTGTGGAGTGCCAGAAAACCCCCCACACATCCATGTTATGTAAGTAGGGGGGAAAAAACATCAAATGGGGTCTCATAAATGGAGCTGCGCAATAGCCCCCTGGCCAAACACAGCTTTATGATGCTGGTCAGCTAGCAAGCACTCACAGTATGGCATCAATAAATGCAAATAACTCTTATTCCATATTCACAGTGACAGTTTCTGAGATCTAATGTAACAACGCACGGGGATCTGCAGGAAAATCGGTCATTGTTAGAGGTTACTGCGCTGTTGTCAGTGCATGCACAGTACAATCCTACTCATTTCTGTTGTGGTGTTGTGTAACAAATCGCACTGGTTCAAACCAGTGCTGGCGCTTCTTGTAGTCAGAGCGAAATGGATGGAGAGCTCCCTGCATCATAAAGTCATGTCTCTAGAAGGACGAGAGAGTGATGAAATTTGCAAAACAGCTTCGAAAGAAACCAATGCAGCTTTTTGTTTTATGCAAAATGCATCTTAAGAAAGCTGCAAGAGAGGAGATGTCAGTGGAGGACACATGTGTCTCCTGGCTCATTTCTTGGCGGGAAGCATGAATAATCCTATTTTAGAGAGAAATATATAGAACAAGAAAAATTCTTTTGAGTGTGAGAAATCATCAGAATTTATATCTTTGCAGGGAATAACTCCATCTTTTCTTTCTCTTTCTCCCACACATTCACTAAATATTCACTCTAACATACATTTACAAGCTGTGCTTACAAGCGCTATCAGAAATAAACATGCAAATTCATCCCTGTCTTCATGAGCAGAGATAACATGCAGCTGCATATTTTGTCCAGCTGCACTTATACTCAAAAATTTGGTATGTTCCCACAGACAGGCTCTGTGCACTGGCTACAAGGATCCTGATTGGCTGAGCACTCTGGTGTGATTGGACTTATGTTAGATCCCCAACAGCCACTCAAATTTACCTGTGCTGTGATTGGTCACGCCATTACATATGACACAGTGACACAGTTTCGGCTGTGCTCTGCTGCAGGAAACACAGTATGCTTTTGTCTCTCGCCGATGGTAAAAACATGAAATAGATGGAAGCATGATAAGAGAGGAATGGGGAGGTGTGTTTGCAGTCTTTTTGTAGGTAAAAGTGTCAAAGGCAAACATATTAATGTCCACATTTAAAGTAAAGAGAAAAATATATATATACAGTGCTTGCACGTCCATCAGTTTATTGCTACTCTTGCTTATCTACCTGTAAGATTTAGTTGGACTTCAGGGTAAAATATCTGCACTTTAATTCTGCACTTGAGTACTTCTGCTCAGTCATCCAGCATCTGTTTAACTTTTCTTCTTCGCTGTTGCTAAAAATTACTGTTCATCCATTCAAGTGTCAGGAACGTGTTGAATTCATAATTAAACATCCTGTCACAAACAGTTCTGA